GTCCAGTTGGTTTCGTCCCCCAGTTGTCGTTTATTTTTAAAGCATAGTAAAAAAATATATAAGTACTTACTTCGTTTAAATTTCTTTTATTGGTATCATTCTTTTTTTTTAAGAAACATATATAAATAAATAAAATTATAAATGCCAAGAGTGAGGAGCAAAGTAATTTATATAAGACATAATTATATATAGTTCATTAAATTGCACATGGAGAGTATACGTTTGTACATGTTTATTTCTGAATTTTGCAGAAGAATCTAGGTAAGTGTCAGTATAGAAGACAATAATAATTTTTTCTCTAAATTGTATAGGTTTTAAGAGATTTAGATAATATACTAGCGAAAAAAATCTAAAAAACGTATACTCCTAGATTTTAATCGAATAAAAAATATTTCATAATAAAAATGATCATAAAATATAAACTTAAATAAATAAATCAATAAATAAAAATTAAAACATCTTATATTACGGAATGAAATNATACAAGTTTTCCTTGAGGAAAACTTCAAAACCTGATTTCTATTTTAACTCTAAATATGTTGACAAAATAAAATGCTAAAATTCGCAATCAGTTATTTGCCAAAATCTGCTATAATTCGTTTAGCATCACTACTGAGATGAGTTTGGATGTTCTTTTTCCAAGAAGTTTGGTTAACAAATAATAGTATTAGTTTTGTTTATAAGCAAAACCGGTGATACTACCTCCGTTTTATAATACTTGTTATTTTAAATTGTTTTACTTGGATTAAAAAAATAATTGAATTTTGGGATATTTATAAAAATACCACTTTTTGTGTCAACATTTGTAAAAATGCTATTTTTAGTGTCCATTTGCAAAAATGTCACTAATTATGATTTTTTAGAGCCTAGATTTTAAAATTCTAAACCCTAAAAAATCTGTTGACCCCTAAAACTCTTTAAACCCTCAAAACTAAACTCTAATACAACATAGTTAACCCAAAATATAAATGATATAATAAATAAATAATTTTGAAAAAAGTTACATTTTTGCAAAAATTGTAAAAATATGGCATTTTTGTAAAGTGTTAATTGAAAAGTGGCATTTTTTGAAAAAATTTTTAAATTTTCTGTTTTATCCA